TCTGCGTGAGGGGTGTCGATTTCGAGCCCCCCCACCAATTCAGACAACGCGCCCAGGAGACGCTAAAAATCCGGTTTGGGCATCCCCCCCCCTCGCGCGGTCAATCAACTAGTTACAGTAACCAGCAAGAAGTCAACTAGTTACAGTAACCAGCAAGAAGCAGAACTGCAACACTGGAAACTACAAACTACAACTGGTACAGGAAACTGCGAATCACGCGCCTCGCAGCCTGGTGGCCCCACAAGGGGGCCGGCGGATACCAGGAAGGGAAAACACAGACACAATGCATCGTCCACTCCCAGGAAAGTATGGGAAAACATGGGGAGTGGGGGGGGCAAACACCCCGAAAATTACGCGACCGAGGAACCCCACATACTTGTATTATGGCTGGAGTGATGATAGCTGAAAAATAGCATGTGAGAATGATGTTGGTGGCCGTTCCCTGCGCGCCCCCTCCGATGTCGAGAAAATGACACGCCTGCTGCGTCGTGCGAGCCTGCAACGGATAGAGACCGCACCCCACGCGCACTCCCCTCTGTTATCGAGACTTTGCCACACCTGCCGCGCCCTGTGCGCCTGAAACGCATAGAGACCGCACCCCCTGTGACCCCCTCTGGTGTCGAGAATTCCCACGCCTGCCGTGCCCTACGCGCCTGCAGCGCATAGAGACCGCACCCCCTGCGCACCCTCCTCGTGTCGAGAAAGTGCCGCGCCTGCCGTGCCCTGCGCGCCTGCAACGCATAGAGACCGCACCCCCTGTTCACCCCCTCTGGTGTCGAGAATTCCAACGCCTGCCGTGCCCTGCGCGCCTGCAACGCATAGAGACCGCACCCCCTGCGCACCCTCCTGGTGTCGAGAAAGTGCCGCGCCTGCCGTGCCCTGCGTGCCTGCAACGCATAGAGACCGCACCACCTGTGCACCCCCTCTGGTGTCGAGAAAGTGCCACGCTTGCCGCGCCCTGCGCGCCTGCAGCGCATAGAGACCGCACCCCCTGCGCACCCTCCTGGTGTCGAGAAAGTGCCGCGCCTGCCGTGCCCTGCGCGCCTGCAACGCATAGAGACCGCACCCGATGTGCACCCCCTCTGGTATCGAGGATTCCCACGCCTGCCGCGCCCTGCGCGCCTTCAACGCATAAAGACCGCACCCCCTGCGCACCCTCCCGGTGTCGAGGAAATGCCGCGCCTGCCGTGCCCGCGCCTGCAACGCATAGAGACCGCACCCCGTGTGCACCCCCTTCTGGTGTCGAGAAAATGCCACGCCTGCCGTGCCCTGCGCGCCTGCAACGCATAGAGACCGCACCCGATGTGCACCCCCTCTGGTGTCGAGAATTCCCACGCCTGCCGCGCCCTGCGCGCCTGCAGCGCATAGAGACCGCACCCCCTGCGCACCCTCCTGGTGTCGAGAAAATGCCGCGCCTGCCGTGCCCTGCGCGCCTGCAGCGCATAGAGACCGCACCCCCTGTGCACCCCCTCTGGCGTCGAGAAAGTGCCACGCCTGCCGCGCCCTGCGCGCCTGCAGCGCATAGAGACCGCACCCCCTGCGCACCCTCCTGGTGTCGAGAAAATGCCGCGCTTGCCGTGCCCCTGCGCGCCTGCAACGCATAGAGACCGCACCCCCTGTGCACCCCCTCTGGCGTCGAGAAAGTGCCACGCCTGCCGCGCCCTGCGCGCCTGCAACGCATAGAGACCGCACCCCCTGCGCACCCTCCTGGTGTCGAGAAAGTGCCGCGCCTGCCGTGCCCTGCGCGCCTGCAACGCATAGAGACCGCACCCCCTGTGCACCCCCTTTGGTGTCGAGAATTCCCACGCCTGCCGTGCCCTGCGCACCTGCAACGCATAGAGACCGCACCCCCTGCGCACCCTCCTGGTGTCGAGAAAATGCCGCGCCTGCCGTGCCCTGCGCGCCTGCAACGCATAGAGACCGCACCCGATGTGCACCCCCTTCTGGTGTCGAGAATTCCCACGCCTGCCGCGCCCTGCGCGCCTGCAACGCATAGAGGCCGCACCCCCTGTGCACCCCTTCTGGTGTCGAGAATTCCCACGCCTGCCATGCCCTGCGCGCCTGCAGCGCATAGAGACCGCACCCCCTGCGCACCCTCCTGGTGTCGAGAAAATGCCGCGCCTGCCGTGCCCTGCGCGCCTGCAACGCATAGAGACCGCACCCCCTGTGTGGTGTCGAGAATTCCCACGCCTGCAGCGCCCTGCGCGCCTGCAGCGCATAGAGACGCACCCCATGCGCACCCTCCTGGTGTCGAGAAAGTGCCGCGCCTGCCGTGCCCTGCGCGCCTGCAACGCATAGAGACCGCACCCCCTGTGCCCCTCCTGGCGTCGAGAAAGTGCCACGCCTGCGCGCCCTGCGCGCTGCAACGCATAGAGACCGCACCCCCTGCGCACCCTCCTGGTGTCGAGAAAGTGCCGCGCCTGCCGTGCCCTACGCGCCTGCAACGCATAGAGACCGCACCCCATGGTCACCCCCTCTGGTGTCGAGAATTCCCACGCCTGCCGTGCCCTGCGCGCCTGCAACGCATAGAGACCGCACCTTCTGCGCACCCTCCTGGTGTCGAGAAAGTGCCGCGCGTGCCGTGCCCTGCGCGCCTGCAACGCATAGAGACCGCACCCCATGTGCACCCCCTCTGGTGTCGAGAATTCCCACGCCTGCCGTGCCCTGCGCGCCTGCAACGCATAGAGACCGCACCCTCTGCGCACCCTCCTGGTGTCGAGAGAGTGCCGCGCCTGCCGTGCTTTCCCTTTCCTTCTCTTCCAGCCGCGGGTGCAGCGCAGCTGGGAAGAGAAGGGGAGGGAGGGGGAGGAGGAGGAGACGCGGGTGAGACGCGGAAGGGAAGAAAACCAGAACCCCACGAAGCATGTGGGGAATATATGCAAAATGTGGGGCATCCTTTTTATTTGTGTGTATCTATTTGTGTGTCCCAGGGCCCTTTTCACTGATCGATTCCCATGTTGTGAGTCGCGTCGGCCACCTCCGGCACCACCAGGGGCGAAGGAAGAGGGGCAATCCCAGGAGGAGCGGGGAGGACGGCGGGGGGAGAGGGGTGGAGGAGGGAGGAGGAGGAGGGAGGTGGGGAAGGGGGCCCGTGGGAGGAGGAGGGGGGAGGAGGGGGGTCGGGGCCCGTGGGAGGAGGAGGAGGGAGGAGGGAGGAGGAGGACCGGGGCAGGGGGCCCTGTAGGAGGAGGAGGGCGGTGGGCGGGCGGCGCCCTCCCCAGGCCTGGCCCCGCGGCGTCAGGCCCGCGAGGCCGCTGGCGAGCGCCCCGCCGTTCCCGACGCGGGCGCTGCGGGAGCACTTCGAGGCCCACGCGGCGCTGCGCGCGGCGCTGCAGGGCGGGGGGCCGCCCCCCGGCGCCCGCACCCACGGGCCGAGCTCCCCCGCGCCCCTCCCGCCCGCACCGCCCCACCGCCCCTCGCCGCCCTCCAGGCGGCGCCCTTGCGCCCCGTCCCCCCCCCCCTCCCGCTCCCCCTCTGCGCCACCGCAGTTACAACATAGGCATACTTTTCTCCTTAATTACTCCCCTGATGACGTCCGGTAGGCCCCAACGTTTTGAAATTTCCCCCCCCGAAATCGGAAGTGCTTACACAGTCGGTGGCGATTCGTTGATTTTCTAGGCCGCAGAAGCCCCCCCCCACTTTGGGGCGTCGTCGCTGTCAGGAAGTATCAAGCGGGGGCACTGTTTCTGCCTTGAGAAGGCGATGTTGAAAGCAGAGCCAGCGGGTGCTCTCCATCAACCCCGCCTTGTGTGGAGCTTTTCGGGGAACCCAAAGAGCTAGACATGGAGCCACGACTCCAGACCGGCCCAGACCTTTCGAAGACGACCCACCTATCTTTCAAGGAATCCGGCGCCATGCCATGACATGCTGTGCGGTGTTGCGTTCTGTGCGGCTGTGCGATGCCATGTTTTGCGTTGCAGTGGTTTGTGATGCAACGCTTCACTGCGGAATGCCACGCTGACGCTGGCATGCTACGCTTTGACGTGCTTTTCTACGCCATACCAGGCCGTGCTCTACCATTGCATCGCGTACCCTCCCGCGATCATTGCCCTCACTATGCGAAAAGAGAGGATATTTACGCCATCGCAAGGGATGGGGGGGAGGGGTGGGACGTCAAATATTACGCTAGCGCACCCAGCTTGCCCCCCCCCCCCCCCGCAGCCCCTCCTCTCTTTGCCCCCGCCCTCCCGCGATCCCCTTTCGTATGTATCTTTCTCTCTCTGTCTCTCTCTCTCTCTCTCTGTCTCTCTGTCTGTCTCTCTCTCTCTCTCTCTCTCTCTCTCTCCGATTCCAGCTCCCGCAACTCTCTCGCACCCCGAGGAGCGGCCACATTCGGTCGGACCGACCGGGCACGCCCGAACGCGCACGCGAGGCCGCGCAGCCCTCACGGCTGCAGGCCTGGCATCAGGTCGGCCCGCCCCAGCAAACCGCAGGCGGCCGCGCGCATGCACACGGCCGAGCAGGACCTGGGCCCCAGCGAAGCTGCGCCCAGGAGGTGGCCGCGCGCCAGGCGCGCAGCCGAGGGGTCCGCAGGGCCAGCGGGCTCTCTCTCTCTCTCTCTCTATTTCTCTCTCTCTCTCTCTCTCTCTCTCCGTCTCTCCGACACCAGCTCCCGCAACTCCGGTTCCTGCCTCGGGACCCGGCCCGCCCGCGTTGTTTTTACGTCTGGGCGGTCCGTCGGATCGACGGTGCGCGCCCCGTTCCGCTCGCTCCACCGCCCCCTGCCTCCACGTCCTTTTCCTCCTCCTCCTCCTCCTCTCCTCCGCCCTCCTCCTTCCTCCTCTTCCCCCTCCTTCTCCCCCTCCTCCTCCTCCTCGTCCTCCTCCTCCCCCTCCCCCTCCCCCTCCTCCGCCTGCTCTGCCCTCCTCCTTCCTCCTCCTTTTCCTCCTCCTCCTCGTCCCTCCTCCCCCTCCTCCCCTCCTCCTCCTCCTCCCCTCCACTCCTCCTCCCCCTCCTCCGCCTCCTCCGCCCTCATCCTTCCTCCTCCTCCCCCTTTTCCTCCTCCCTCCGTACCTCCCCCCCCCGTTCGGGCGGGCGCGGGGTGTCTCGGCCCGTTGCACATCTTGGTCTACGCGTGCACGTCGATGACGCTCTGCGGCGGCCACGGCGACAGGCCGAGCGAGGGAGAGAGGCAGGAGACGGGGGAGGTAGGCCCAGGGAGGGGAGGAGGAGGATGATGATGATGATGAGGAGGAGGAGGAGGAGGAGGAGGAGGAGGAGGAGGAGGAGGAGAGGAGGATGAGGAGGAGGAAGAGGAGGAGGAGGAGGAGGAGGAGGAGGAGGACGAGGTGAGGGAGGGGCCTCCTTGGCATGAGCCAAGGGTGGAAAAGTCACCCCGACCCCGACGATTCGCGTTCATCAAGCAGCCCTGGGCGTTTACTGAACAGCCCTGCCCTGTTCGATTCTTTCATGGGTGCGTTTACTAAACGGCTTCGCCTGTCGGGGTGCTAATGATGGAGGTGGATTTGCTGCTCTTCAAGGAGGGGGTGGGGAGGGAGGGAGAGATGGAGCCAGGAAGAGACAAGGCAAGGGTGGGTAGGGAGAGAGAGAGGAGAGATAGAAGAGGAGGCGGGAATGCAGAAAGGGGGTGGGAGCACCCCCCCTGCAGGAGGGGACGTGGGCCCAGACCTAACTGTGCCGCTTTGTCTAGGCTGAACGGGATGCTCGGCGCGGCGGTCGTGGCCCTGCTCTCCGGCCGCGCCCTCTTCATCGACTCCCAGCGGCCGGTGCCCCTCGCCCTGGTGCTGGAGCTCATCAGCCTGGAACATATCCCTATCCCTGTGCTGGGCATCGCCCTATCACGATGCCGATCTTAGGGATTCCCTCAGTGTTTGAGGGCGCATCCCTAAGATCGTCATCGCCTTTGGGCGTGTCAATCTTAGGGATAGGGACAAGTTCGAGGCTGGTGAGGAGCCCCGCCTCATCGACTGGCGCCTCCACGGCACGCAGGCTGCCCTGCCCGCCGCCTTCAACTGGAACGACGACCTCGCCGGCTTCGAGGCGGACCCCGCGCGCATGCTCGAGAGCCAGGCTCTCCCGGGGGAGGCAAAAGAGCGGCAGCACCACCACCGGGGGTGGACAGACCTCCTATCGGGCCGGACGAAAGGGGGCGACTGGGAAAGGGGGGGGTACGAAATTTGCTGCATGCAGCTGGTTTCGGCCCCACCGAGGGGCCCATTCCTCGATACATGGGCGCCTCCGGCGTCGGGAGGTGCCAGGAAAATCAGCTACGTGAGCTGATTCTCAGACCCTGCCCCGACACGTCGATTAGTGACTTGTCCGTTCTCGGTTCGCGAGGTCGTTTTTGCGGGTCCAGGTCCGTCTATTTCGGTCCCAGGCCGTTTGCATTGAGGGGAGGTGTACTAAAGGGAGGCTTGTCCACCGCCGAATGCCCAGCCGTGGCAGCCACTCGTAGGACAGCAACCGTAAGACGAGCGACCCATGACGGCAAGACTGCGCTGTGCGGGGAAAGGACTGCAGTGGTTGCCGAAGCAAGTCAGCCTGCGGGCGGCTGTAGGGGGCAGCCTCGGGGGCAGGGGACAGACAACGGCGCTGTTGCCCCTCTCGAGGGGCGAGGTTCCCGCAGATTACAACTTGAGCCAAAATGGCTACAGAGGATGAGGAGGAGGAGGAGGAGGAGGAGGAGGAGGAGGAGGAGGAGGACGAGCGAGAGCGCGGAGGTTTCTGAGGTTTCATCTGCGTGCTTGTTTGTTGGTGGGATCTTGGGGGCACCGGGGGAACCCCGTGGAATTCGGGAGGGGAGGAGGAGGAGAAGGAGGAGGAGGGAGGAGGAGGAGGAGGAGGAGGAGGAGGAAGAAGAGGAGATGGAGATGGAGGAGGAGGCGGAGGCGGAGGAGGAGGAAGAGGAGGAGGAGGAGGAGGAGGAGGAGGAGGAGGGAGAGCACAGGGAGGAACCCAGGTGCTGAAAGACGACCCTTCAGACCTGTAGACCTGGCCTGGCACTGAAACGGAAAGAGCGCTTCAGAAACAGAAACCGAAATGACTCACACCACCGTTCGTATTGGGAGCCTTGGCGTTGAGAGCTTGTTACGTCACCCCGCGCTCTTGGGAGCCTTGGTGCTCAGAGATTGTTGCGTTGCCGCCCGTTCCTGAGCCTTGGCTGGGCCTTGGTGTCAGGAACTTGTTACGTCACCGCTCTCTGCTGGGAGCCTTGGTCTTATCAGCTTGATTGCGTCACCGTTCGCTCTTGGGAGCCTTGGTGTGAAGAGCTTTTTGCGTTACCGATCGCTCTTTATTTGGCGTCTCTGGACCTTCTTGAGAGTCCTATTGGGGCCCTTTTAGAACCCTCTTGGGAACCTCTTGGAGGCCTCTTGAGGTTTCTTGGGGGGCTCTGGGGGCCTCCTGGAAGCTTCTTGGGCCGAAAGGCTAGACTTTTCGGTTCGTGGTCCCCCTCTTGGGGCCGTCTTGGGGCCCTCTTGGGCCGTCTTGGGCGCCTCTTGGGCCGTCTTGGGGCCCTCTTGGGCCGTTTTCGGGGCCTCTTGGGAGCCTCTTGGGCCGTCTTGGGGGCCTCTTGGACCGTCTTCAACGCCGTGAAAGCCGAAAAGTCTTGTATGCTAAAAATGCATTTTTTCCCCATCGGAAATCAATGAGTTTGGCCTCCTGGTAGCCTCTTGCGACGCCTCTTGGGGGCCTCTTGGTGCTTCTTGGGGGCTCTTGGGCCTCCTGGGAGCGTCTTGGGGCGAAAGGCTAGACTTTTCGGTTCGTGGTCCCCCTCTTGGGGCCGTCTTGGGCGCCTCTTGGACCGTCGTGGGGCCCTCTTGGGCAGTGTTGGGGACCTCTTGGGAGCCTCTTGGGCCGTCTTCGCCGTGAAAGGCGAAAAGCCGTATATGCTAAACAATGCACGTTTCCCTAAGTAAAATCAATGATTTTGGCCTCTTGGGGCCCTCTTGGGACGCCCCTTGGGCGCTTCTTGGGCGACTCTTGGGGGCCTCTTGGGACGTCTTGGGCGGCCTGGGGCTCTCTTGGAGCGCTCTTGGCCGTCTTGGGGGGGAACTCGAAAAACATGCAAGAACCCAATGGCAAACCCGATAACGGCCATTAACACTCATTCCCCCGCCCTACCCCGCTCCCCTGGAACCCCTCCCTTTAGGGCTTCGCCCACACCAGTACGTCATCACTCGTACTTCGCTCTTTCCGCTACCTGGCCCGGCACAGAAACGGAAAGAGCGTTTCAGAAACAGAAGCCGAAATTATTCACACCACCGTTCGTATTGGGAGCCTTGGCGTTGAGAGCTTGTTACGTCACCCCGCGCTCTTGGGTGCCTTGGTGTTCAGAGATTGTTGCGTTGCCGCCCGTTCCTGAGCCTTGGCTGGGCCTTGGTGTCAGGAACTTGTTACGTCACCGCTCTCTGCTGGGAGCCTTGGTCTTATCAGCTTGATTGCGTCACCGTTCGCTCTTGGGAGCCTTGGTGTGAAGAGCTTTTTGCGTTACCGATCGCTCTTTATTTGGCGTCTCTGGGCCTTCTTGGGAGTCCTATTGGGGCCCTTTTCGGGCCCTTCTAGAACCGTCTTGGGAACCTCTTGGGGTCATCTTGGGGTTTCTTGGGGGGCTCTGGGGGCCTCCTGGGAGCTTCTTGGGCCGAAAGGCGAGACTTTTCGGTTCGTGCCTCTTGGGGTCTTGGGGCCGTCGTGGGGCCGCCCTCTTGGGCCGGGCGCCTCTTGGGCCCTCCTGGGACCCTCTTGGGCCGTTTCGGGGGCCTCTTGGGCGCCTCTTGGGCCGTCTTGGGGCCCTCTTGGGCCGTTCTTGGGGCCTCTTGGGAGCCTCTTGGGCCGTCTTGGGGCGGTCTTTGGGGGTCTCGTGGACCGTGCGACGCTCCGCGAGGAGGCCCACGCCGCCTCCCCGAGCTGGGGGCAGAGGCAGCACAGACGGCAGGTCTTGGGCCGCTGTGGGCCTTTGGGGGCCTCGGGGGCCTCTGTGGGGCCTCGCCCTGCGAGAAGATCCTGACGAAAGGTCTTGGGTCGCTTTTGGGCCTCTGGGGGGGCTCTGGGACTGTCAAGAAGAGAGGCCAAATTCACTAATTTCACTTTGGTTGTGGAAGGATTTTGGCCTGGTCGCCTTTTCGGCCCTCTGATGCTCCCAGACGGCCCAAGAGGCCCCCCAAGAGCGCCCCAGGGCGGGCCACGAGGGAAGGGCCCGGCCTTCCCGGGACCCCGCAAGTGGAAGAAGGAGGGCGTCGCGTGCCCCGGGCTGTCGGGGAAGGGGGCCGCACCACCGGGGGGACCCCCCTCATTGCCTGCCGCGCGGGTGGCGGTGCCGCTCTCCCCGACATCCCGCGGGTCCGATGTGTCCAAATCCTCGGCCCCAGAAGCTCGGGTCGCTGCTCTGGCCTCGGATCTGTTGCGGATGGCCCCGGGGCCTGCACATGGCCCCCCGAGGGCCGACGTCGAAGAACTAGCGCCATTTTCACACATTCGATAGGAAAGGAATCATTGCACAACACATATGCTTTCGAAGGTGCGCGCGGATATCTTGAATCCGCGCTGCACCCCTCTCCCCGGCGCGCGGAACACGCCAGGGGCGGCGCCGCAGGCGCCGCCAGGGTGGTCCAGCGGCGCCGGTCCAAGAATTCAGCGCGGACCTCCGTTATGTTTGTGCAGTTGTTGGTTCTACACTTGGCATCGCTTGGACAAGTGCATGTGTGTCTCGTCGAGGCCAGCGCCAGAATGGCTGGAACATCATGGAGCAGATTGAGAGAAATAGACACGCATGACACCGAACAATGTGCGGGGAATAGACGCCCGAGCTTGGAGGTGGCTGGGGGGTCTGAACAAGTTGAACATCGGTTAGGAGGAGGGGTGAGGCCAAGAGAGAGAGAGAGAGAGAAAGAGAGAGCAGCCGTGCACGTCAGAGGAGCAATGGCAGAAAATGATGACACACAATCCGCCGCCACCGGCGCGGTCGAACAGTGAGACGACGATACCGACGGCAAGGGTATAGACGAAGCGACGACGAGGAGGCGAGGAGGGGAGGAAGAGGAGGAGGAAGACACCGACCATAACATCTGCAGTCTCACATCTTGTGTTTTTTATTCAGCCTCTGTGAGTGGCTCTGCCACCACCCAATAAGGGACGAGCCTCCACTGCTGGATCTGGTGATGTCTCAGTCCCTGTTAGTGGCTCTGTTACAACCCCAGAATCAATGAGTCTCCGTTGCTAGATCTGGTGATGTCCCAGTTCCTGTGAGCGGCTATGCCACCACCCCATACAGAAAGAGACACCAGAGAACCCATTGCCAGAGATGACGTCCCAGTCCATGTGAATGTCTTGGCCACTGCCCCATAGACACCATCGGAGCTTGAGCTCTGAACAGTGACGCCTGGTCACTTCGCGTTAACCACTTGGCCTATGCCGTCAGAATTCCTCCAAGGCGCCTTGTCATTTGCCGCCGAGCATGCCCAGTCAAGCACATATCGCTTCCACGTATTTCTCGGCCTCCCTCTTTCCCGAGGCCCGAACGGGCCGGAAATGACAAACGATCCTCCACAAGGTGTAGTTGTTTGCCCAGGATCCGTTTCTGACGGTCCCAGGCCCCGAAAACCATCCCCAGGAGCAGAAAATGGCCACAAGCCTTCAAATGCTGGGCCACCTCACGACCCCCAGGCGGCTGCAGACCACATGGAATCTTCCTCTCTAGGGCGAGGGACAGGAGCATCAGGAGGTGAGGACAGCACAACCACCCCCCACCCTCAGCCAGGACCCCCACTACCGACACGGTGATCCAGGAGACCCTGGCTGGGGGTGAGGGTGGCTCTCCCAGACCCGCGACGTCATGATTTTTGTTCGCGACGTCGACCCCCAGAGGTCTCGACCCACTCCCAGGACCAGCTTTTCCTCCCGAGTCGTGCTTTGACGGGCCCGAGTCCCTGCAAGGCCCCACCGAGGCCGAGAAATGCGAACAACTTTTGTCCGCAACCTTTTTGTTGCGACGCGAGGGGCTTTGGGGGCCTGGGGCCCCCGAGCGCGCCTGGCCCGAGCGATGCAGGCCCCCGTGCTGCGCCTCGTCTCCAACCAGCGCCTGACGCCCGCCGCGCTGCGCGCCGCGCCGCATCGCGCCGCCGCCCTCGGCCTGACGCCCGAGCCGCGGCTCCACGCCCGCCTCTTCGAGGCGCTGTTCCGGCCCTCGCCGGCCTTCGCCGCGCGCCTGCGGGCGCGCCGGCTCCCGGAGGTCTGCGGCCGGCCGTCGGGGGGCAACGGTTCAGGCAGTGGCGAAGCGTCTTGTCAAGCAGTGGCGAAGCGTCCTGTCTCGCCTATAGACCCACGAAATAATGTTCTAAGAACCTCTTGTGGTTCCCACGAAGTGTTCTTAGAACATTTCTGGCGGGGGGTGCCTTGTCTTGCCGCATCGGGCTGATGTTCTAAGAACATGGCTTTTGTGATTAGAACATCTGTGGGTTCTAAGAACATTTCGTGGTAGGACTATAGAAATGCTGGGACGGTCGGTCCCTGCTCAATCTTGGCTTGCCTATATCTATGCCTCCTAAATGGTGTTTAGTAGATGGGTCGGAGGATCCCGCCGCATCGCCGATGCGTCGGCGATGCGGCTCGACGTGGGGCCCACTTTTCACCACGCCGACGTCGCCGATGCATCGCCGACGTCGCCCGTGCATTGCCGATGCATCGCCGATACTTCGGCGGTGCAGCGCGGTCCTGTGACCACATCTACTCCGACCCCATCTAGGAGGCCTCCATGTCAGGGGCAACGATTCAAGCAGTGACGAAGCGTCCTGGCTTGCTTATAGGCCCACCAAAGAGTGTTCTGAGAACCTTCAGTGACTTGCACCAACGGTTTGTAGGGCATTTCTAGCTGAGACCAGATTGCTTTAGTGCGCCGGGCTTGTGTTCTAAGAACATTGTATGCGTGACGAAAGCATGTGTTGTTCTGATAACCTGTTGTGGTAGGGCTATGAGAACGCCAGGACGGGTCGGTCCCTGCTCAAACGATAGTCAGCCACGCGCCGAGGGGGGTAGGGGGAGGGGGGAGGGCTTCTTAGAAGGACGCCTGCTTCTTAGAGGGCGCGGGCCTAATCTCTAGATGCAAGGCCGGCGCCTTCTAAGAAGCAGCCTCCTTCTAAGAAGCCCTCCCCCCTCCCTCCACCCCCTTGTGCGCGCCGCCAGGATAGGGGGTGTAGGCTCTGGGGGGGGGGAGGCACATCGACCCCCCATCGCCCACGGGCCGCCGGAAGGTACCCGATGGCCCACCCCACCCACGAGCGTGCGGGTATTCTCCACCGATCGGCGATGCATCGCCGATTCCAGGTCGATTCTGAGGCCTCAAGCAGGGGCGAGGCGTCCCAGCTCGCCTAGAGCCCCACCAAGCAATGTGCTAAGAACCTCATGTGGTTCCCACGAGAGGTTCTTATATAGGACATTTCTGGCGGAGACAGTCTTGTTGTATCACATCGGGTCTGTGTTCTAAGAACGTTGTTTTGGTCCTGAGAACATTTCTGGGTTCCAAGAACATGTCGTGGTATGACTACAGGTATGCCGGGACGGTCGGTCCCTGCTCACGTATCGCCGATTCTAGGTCGATTCTGAGGCCTCCCAGATGGGGTCCGATTAGATGGGGTCGAAGGATCGCGCCACATCGGCGGTGCGGCTCGATGCGGAGCCCGATGTTCGCCACGCCGACGGCGGCGATGCAGCACCGACGTCGCCCACGTCGCCGATGCAACCTCGATACATCGGCGATTCGGCGCGATCCACCGACCCCATCGACCTCATCTAGGAGGCCTCTACAGCGGCCAGTTGCTTTGCAAATGGCACTGGGTCTGCCCCGTTTTCGGGCCCTGGGACCATCATGGAGCAGCGATCCGGCTTGAGATATGCAGCAGGAAGACGGTCGGATCTCAGTCATGGTCAGGCTCGGGCTGCGCACAGACAGCCCTCTCCCCCCGACAGGCAGTCCCAGTTGACCGCTACAGGGTCCCCATCAGGTACAGTTGATGCACATGCCAGGAAGCACCCTGCTTGCCTCCAGAGTGCCCTGGGTTTCTTGGGTTCCGATGGTTCTACGATAGAAAGCACGACGTGCCCCCATTTAAAATCAACGGACGTCCTGGGGTCTCAAGGTTGGGTTTCTTGTGGAAGGTTTCTTGTGGTCGAGCTCATACTGTAGTCATGGTACCCAGACATCCGGCGTCTCGGCATCGGGACGGACCTTCCTCTTGGTTTCCGGCCTCTCGACCCCCCCCCCCCGGCTGTCCTCAACGGCTTTCGGGCCCGTTGCACAAATGGAACGGGGGCGAGAGTCTGCCCCCCGGGGGGAGCGTCGAGAGATCCATGGGGCAGCGCATGGATGAATCAGCATTGCCAGGCATGCGGGACCGCACCCCTGCGGTATCAATCGGGCTGAGGCACCTGACGTGTGTCACCGTTTTGGATTGGGCCGCGGTCATCCTTCGGAGTCTGGGCCCAGCCTGCGTTTCAGAAGTGCATCCGTCTATTTTGTTCACCTCGCGATGGCTCTGTATTGGGGCGGTGATCGTGGCTAACACGAGGTCGCATAGCCCCAGTGGGTCACATGGCCAATACGGGTTTGCACGAGCCCCGTTGGGCTTCCAAGGATTTTTTTCTGAAGGCTCCCGAACGGGGTCACACAACATGCCCGCAAAAATGGGTGTGTGACTGCCGCAAGCTGGCAACGCAGCAGCATTGACGCCGTCAATGGCAACCTGCAGGGGTACAGTCGGGGCCCTGAAGAAGGAACCCTTTTCGTTGGGGAGGGGCTCCGCGTTCCTGAAGTCTTTCGCAGCTTGCCCTGGATTTTCTTTAGGTTTTCGACACGAAATCGAAGGTTAACTCATGGGAAAAAGGGGCCTCGTTCCTTATTTAGGGTTCCTTAGGTCAACGCCCCGACTGTAGGGTTCGCATGTGGTTGCCTGCGGAGGGCCGCCGCATCGGCATCCACTTCCGGGCCGGCGACCAGATGCCCCAGCGCTGGGCGGACCCGCCGCGGCCTCCTGGGGTGAACTACCAGAAGCGTTCACCCCAATCGCCCTCTCCCGGCCTCGGGGAGATCGACATGGGCAGGGCAAGAGCGGGCGCAATCATCGACGGCACTGCTTGGCCGTGCTGAGCAGGGCTCGTCGTCGGTGTCGCCGCAGACAGTTCCCGTTCGAGACAGAAGTAGGGGAGCAAAAAGTGGCATAAACATAACAACTCGGAGGTCCGCGCAGATTTCTCGGAACGTCGCTGGGGACCCCCGGCGGCGCCTCGGGCGCCGCCCCTGGCGCGCTCCGCGCGCCAGGGAGGGGGGTCCAGCGCCGATCCGAGAAATCCGCGCGGACCTCAGAGTTTTTATGTTTATGTCATTTTTTGTTCCCCTAAGAGGGCCGCCCGTCGGTGTTGGGCAGAGTTTGCTGTTGGGCCTCGTGCCTGTTTTTTCTCCGTGCCCCCTCCAGGCGGCCAGGCCGCCGATGGCTTTTTGGGCCCCTCTGCTCACCCAGGGCCGCGCGGCTGCGCCATCGGGGGCCTCTGGCCGTCCTGGCGGCGGTGCCGCGCCGATTCCAGATCGATGCTCCCCACACGCGCGCCAGTCTTACGATGTTCCAACTTACTTTCGCCTTGACCACCAGAAAGAATTTCGAACACCCAAAAAATACCGAACTTCGGGGTTTTCACGTGTCGGGCCCTGGGAGACACTCTTCCGACACTGTTTCGCTACTCGTTCGACACTTTTCCGGGTGCTCGAAATGTACGATGGGAGAAACATTCGGAATTTGGAACGTGTACACGGAATGAACGCCAGTCTTCGGAATTTGGAACGTGTACATGACCAGTGGCGGGCCGTGTTGCAACCCCACGGCTTCTCGAGTGTCGGGGACGACGTCGGGGTGGTCTGGTGTGTACATTGTTTTCCCGCTTTCGCGGGGGAGCAACGGCAAGTGTATACACCAGGATCCCGTATGCACCAGGATCCGCGTCCCTGCGCGAGCTTCAGCGCAGGGCCGGAAACAGCGTCGGTGTATAGAGAGTTCGTTTCCATAAGTCCCCCGGAAGTGCAAACAGGAATTTTTGGAGGAGGAGGAGGAGGAGGAGGGAAAGGAGGGGGAGGAGGAGAGGAGGAGGAGGAGGAGGCGGAGGAGGAGGGGGAGGAGGAGGGGGAGGAGGGGGAGGGGAGGAGGAGCAGGAGGAGGAAGAGGGGGAGGAGGAGGAGGAGGAGGAGGAGGAGGAGGAGGAGGAGGAGGAGGAGGAGGAGGAGAGAGGAGGAGGAGGAGGAGGAGGAGGAGGGGGAGGGGGAGGGGAGGGGGAGGGGGGAGGGGAGGGGAGGGGGAGGGGGAGGGGGAGGGGGAGGTGGAGGGGGAGGGGAGGGGAGGGGGAGGGGGAGGGGGATGGGGAGGGGGAGGGGGAGGGGGAGGGGGAGGGGGAGGGGGAGGGGGAGGGGGAGGGGGAGGGGGAGGGGGAGGGGGAGGGGGGGAGGGGGAGGGGTGGAGGGGGAGGATGAGGAGGAGGAAGAGGAGGAGGAGGAGGAGGAGGAAGACGCGTGGATCAGCGACGGTTCCCGCTGCCGTGCAGCATCGGGGCGCTCCGTCGGCCCTCAGTCGGGCGGCGCCGGCCTTGGTGTTCCGGAGGGCACCTCTCCCCACTTTCCTCCTCCCTCCTCCTCCTCCTTCTCCTCCTCTCTCCTCCTCCTCATCCTCCTCCCCTCCTCCTCCTCCTCCTCCTCCTCCTCCTGGCGTCTCCAGATCCGCGGGTCTGGCGCCCGGGCGCCAGGTCGACGCATTCGTAATCCGTGCTGGCGTGCGCCCGATGGTCGCTCCCTCTCATCGGGGGCGGAAAAGAAGGGGGTGATGACTAGGGGGGGTGGATATCATGGCGGGGGCCATGATACTTCCCCAGATTTCATGGCGCCTCTTCTTGTTTCAGATTTCATGGCGCCTCTTCTTGTTTCATTACGTCCCTGCCCCCCCCGCTGGGCCGCGCACATGCCGCCGGTCATGATTTGCACCCCCCCTCTTGGACACACCCCTCTTGGCCGCTCCCGATCTCAGGGTTGTGATGCTCCAACCTACTTCAGCCTTGATCACCAGGAAGAGTTTCGAGCGGCCAAGCAAGTACCGAAGCTCAAGGGTTTTCACGTGTCGGGCCCTTTGGAGACACTCTTCCGACACTGTTTCGCCACTCTTCTGACACTTTTCTGGGTGCCTGAGATTATTTCTGGGATGTGGTCCTTAAGTAGGATGGGGGCAACATAATCTCAGGCACGCGCTCGGGGAGATCGACGAGTTCCTCGACTGCGCCGCCACACTGGAGGCGGCCCTCGGCTGGGAGGCCACCTTCTTGCTCTTCGCCGACACCGACCGGGTCCTGGAGGCCCCGAGGGTGGCCGCGCTGAGGGCGCAGGGCAAGCTGGTGTGGCCGGCGCAGTCGGACAACTTGATCCATTTGGACCGTCGCCCACCTCCCGTTCGTCAAGGGCGCCCTCGAGGGCGCGAAGTTATTCGCGCTTCGCGGTTCGGCTCGGATTCCTCCTCATCCTCCTCTTCTCTCCTGGGAGGCGGCGCGAGAGCGCGAAGTTAGTCGCAGTGGGGCGTGCAACGACATGGGTGTGGCGGACGCATGCGGGCTGCGCCATCGGGACCTTCGGTGGAGCTCCCTATTGGGGCACGAACGTGTGAGGGGTGTGCCGCAATGGGTGTGCGTGACGCATGCGGGCTGCGCCACTGGAACCTTCGGCGGAGCTCCCTATGGGACCACGAAACGTGTGAGGGGTGTGCCGAAATTGGTGTGGCGGACGCATGCGGGCTGCGCCACTGGGACCTTTGGTGGAAACCCCCATGGGGCCACGAAACGTGTGAGTGGTGTGCCGCAATGGATGTGCGTGACGCATGCGGGCTGCGCCGCCAATCGGCCGAAGATGGCCCCAAGAAGGCCCAAGAGGCGCCCAAAACAGCCCAAGAGGGCCCCAAAACGGCTTCAAAGGGGGCCCAAGAGAGGGAACACGAACTGGATATCTGAGCTTTCCGCCCCAAAATGCCCCCAGGAGGCCCACAGGAGGCGCCAAGAAGCGGAAGAGACCCCCAAGCGGCCCCCAAGGGGCGTCCCAACTGCCTCGAAGAGGCCCCCGAGAAGCCGATCACGAGATTCCAACGAACATCCAACAGGCGTCATCCCAACACGCCGATCTTGAAAACCTGCAAGAGAAACGCCACCAACGATCAACAAACACATCTAAGCACACGAGCGTGCCGTATGTCAGGAGGGGGAAACACCACGCAGACACAGTAAACCGGCGAGTCCCAGGAAAAAATATGGGAACATATGGGCAGTGGGGGGAGACACAAACCCAGAAAACATGGGAAGATATGGGGAATCCTGTTATTTGTGTGTACAGTCGGGGCCATGGAGTAGGAACCCTTTTCGTTGGGGAGGGGCTCGGCGTTCCTTGACTGTTCTGCAGTTTGCCTTCTGTTTTCCTGAGGTCTTCCATGGGGAATCGAAGCTCAACTTATGGGAGGAAGGGGCCCCGTTCCTTATTTAGGGTTCCTTAGGTCAACGCCCCGACTGTACTTTTTTTGTGTGTGTCCCAGGGCCCCATTCGAAGAAGTCAGTCCACGGGCGGGGCCTGTTGGGGGCCTCTCTGGAACCTCTTCGGGGATGTGTTGGACGCCCACCGGAGGCCTTTGGGGCTCTCCTGGGTTCTGTGGGGCGTGTCCCTCTACAGGGGGAGTATTCAAAAATAGTCAAACAATAGTCTGGGGACTATTTTTGGCAATTGTGAACATTTGTGGTGTATGTTGTTTCTTTGTTTATTACTATTGTTATCATCATTATTATTAGCATTATTAATATTATTATTTTTATTATTAATATTTTTATTTTTAATATTTTTATTATTATTGTTATCATCGTTATTATTATTGTTATTATTATTATTAGTAGTATTATTTGATTTTGTTTTGTGTTTAGAAAAAACACTGTTCGTCCTAGATCGGCCCGTAGGGGACAGGCCCGACTAACTCTCTGGGCGGAGGGCTCGGGGTGTCAGTTCGAGTGGCGCCTCTTGGGGGCCCTGCGGGGGCCATCGTGGGCTTGGCATCGCTCGGACGTGTGCAGTTTTCCTTTGATGAGGACCATCGAGGAGCACCCTTGATCATTTCGCGAAAAAGCCACGCACGAAACCGACAAAAAGCACAGGAAATGGACGTCCGAGCGATGGCCATCTTGGGCGCTTCCTGCGCACATTTGGCCCCTCGTGGCCGCTCCGGGCGCGCCCGGGCGGCACGGGGCCCTTCACGGGGCGGCTTCTGGGGCCGTCCTGCAGCGGCATTGGGGCCTCTTTGGGCCGCCTTGGGCGATGCCAAGACGACCCCTAAGGCGGACATGCTGAAGATACACGCTTTCTCTAAAAGGATGGGCACGAGTTTGGCCTTCTGGGGGCTTCTGGGACCGTCTTGCAGCAGTATTGGGGCCTCTTTGGGCCGTCTTGGACGATGTCAAGACCCCTACGTGCGGGCAATATTCATGTCCATATCCAGTGCCTCTTGGACTTTTTGGGAAGCGGCGCCACAAGGCCGAGGCGCATTGGCTATGGATAAACATCGAGCATCTAGGGGGCAACTTTGTCCATATCCAGTGCGACTCGGGTTTCTTGGGAAGGGAGCCCGAAACTCCATACTGCAGTGGATATGGACAGAAGTATTGCCCGCACTACGGTGGACATGCTAAAGATATACGCTTTCTCTAAAAGGATGGGCACGATCTTGGCTCGCTGGAGCCCCTCCTCCCCAGGTCCTCGTTTTATGCCGTCCTGGGGCACCTTGGAGGCCTTTTGGGGCCTTCTCGAGGCCCTCGTCGGTGCTGTTGCTGCCTCCTCCTCGGCGTGCTGGTGCCCAGCTGGAGCCAGCTGAAATGGCACCTTTTGGGCACCTTGGAGGTCGCGGAGTGTACTTTTGGAGGCTCCGGATGCCCCAGGGCTGCGTCGGCGAGCTCGTCCCCCCCCCCCTGCCAGTGGCGTAAGTGGCGACTCCTATAGGGGGCCACATGCGAACCCTACCCCTACCCCCCATCGGCGAGGCGGCGCGATCGGCGAGGCATCGGCGAGGCGGCGTGATCCTCCGGCCCCACTTTCACTCCGACCCCATCCGGGAGGCCTCTGGACTCACTTGGCATCGCTCGGACGTGTGCATCTTCTTTCTCGGCGAGGACCTTCGAGGAGCATCCTCGTCCATCTGGCAAAAAAAACACGCACTAAACCGAAGAATGCACGGGGAACGGACGTCCGAGCGACGGCAAGCTCAGGACCGCTCTCCGGCCACGCTCTCGGTCCGGGGCCTGCTGGGCACGTGGGCGGACTGGTGGACCCTGGCCTTCGACGTGGACGCGCTGGTGCTCTGCCAGAGCGGCTCCCTCGGAGGAGAGGAGAATTCAGGAGGGGAAAAACACACAGACACAATCAATCGTCGATGTCCCAGAAAATATAAGAAAATATGGGCAGGGCTCGTGGTCCACGCCGCCGCGGGCGGTGTCCAGTCGAGAAAAAGGAGGCCGCCTACCCAGCAGCGGCCGCTGCTGGTTTGGGACAACACTTGTTGTTGGGCATTGTTCGGGCCAGACGAAAGGGGGGGGATAGGGACAGGGGGGGGTACGAAATTTGCTGCCTGCAGTTGGTTTCGGCCCCACCGAGGGGCCCATGCCTCGATACATGGGCGCCGAGAGGCGCCGGAAAGCTGCGTGAGCTGATTCTCAAACCCCCCCTTTGCTATCCCCCCCTTTCGCCCGACCCGAATTGTACCCACTCTTTCCGTACCCACAGCGGGCGTCCACAAAAGGGGTGTCGTCTCCGGCGCGGAGGCGCGCGGGGTGCCTCCCCGAGCGGGGGACCCTCGAAGCACAGGGCGGCGGAAACAAACCTTTGGCGGCCCGCGCGGGTGTCTTGGATCTGCGCTGGGACCCCCCCCCCCGGCTTACCAGCCTCGAACTTATCCCTATCCCTAAGATTGACACGCCAAAAGGCGATGACAATCTTAGGGATTCGCCCTCAAAAAATAAGGGGATCCCTAAGATTGGCATCGTGATGATGAGGAGATGCCCAGCATAGGGATAGGGATTTGTTCAGGCTGGTAACCGGCGGCGCCTGTGTTTCTGGCGTTTTTTTCTTTTTCTACAGAGTCGGCCTTGATTGGACAGGGCACGCGAGAGGGCACAAGGCCCTTCCGAGGGCCACATTGCCACAGGAATGTCGGAAGCATGGGTCGCGAGGCCAGCACACGAGGGTACCCTCGATTCGGCAGGGTCGACCTACTACGAATCTGGGCCACCCTGCCAGGTCGAGGGTAATTACCCTCGTGTCCTGTGCCTCGCGACCCGTGCCTTCTCACACTCCTATGGCGATGCGGCCCTCCGACGGGTCTTGTGTCCTCTCGCGTGTCCTTCAGGAAGGAAAGGAACACACAGACACAATTAATCGTCCACTCCCAGGAAAATATGGGAAAACATGGGAAGTGGGGGGGAAGACAGAAACCCAGGAAAATATGGAAAATTGTTATTCGTGTGTATTTATTTGTGTGCCCTGGGGCCTCTTTCAGTCTGCCCGATCGAGGCCGACTGTACCCGAGTTGGGGGCAGTTCGGTCGCGTTGCGACGAGGACCCCAGCCGGGCTCGAAGGCCGTCGGCGGCCATAGATTGGGGGGGGGGGGGGGGTGGGGGGGAATTGCGAGGGGGCGGGCCTTCGGAGAGTGTTCTGTAATCCCTCCTCCTCCTCCTGCTCCTCCTCCTCCTCCTCCTCCTCCTCCTCCTGCTCCTCCTCCTCCTCCTCCTCCTCCTCCTCCTCCTCCTCCTCCTCCTCCTCCTCCTCCCTCTCTCTTCCTCCTTCTCGGAAGGCCAGAGGGCTTCTGAGAAGCCCCGCCGCCTTCTGGGAGGGCCTTCTTCGGGCGGCGCTGGGGCGGGGATGGCTCCGTTCCAGAGCGTTCCAGAACGCTCTCGGGGCGTCCGAGCGCTCCGAGGTGGCCGCAGCGCCCGAGAAGTCTTGCAGATCCGCCGGATCTCAGACATTCTCGATTTATCCTGACCAGATCTTATCCTCGTGGGCGACCACGCGTCAGGGTGCAACCCTTGGCAGGCTAAATGCAGCATCGTCGCTGGCACATCCAGCCTAACCGTTTTGTTACTTACAATCCCGCGCAATCTGGCTTGTTCCCGCTTAATATACTTGAAAGTGGACTTCGTCTGGCCTGAATCGGTTGAAGGGCCTCGTATTCGAGCTTAAGGGATCGAGTGCCTCGGTATGAAAAAACGCACGTGCCCGCCCTCGGGGACGCCAGTCCCAGGGCGGCCGGAACGGTTCTGCTCCCAGCTGCCGCCGCAGCGGTAGCGATTGCCCAGCCGCTCTGGGACAGGCGCGGCCAATGGCGGAGAAGTGCCAGCCTCGAACGTATCCCTATCCCTAAGATTGACACGCCAAAAGGCGATGACACTCTTAGGGATGCGCCATCAAAAAACAGGGGAATCCCTAAGATTGGCATCGTGATGAGGAGATGCCCAGCATGGGGATAGGGATATGGTCCAGGCTGGTAATGTATGTTCCACCGCTCCCCGACCGTCAAGAGGGGGGGCTCCTCGAGCGGGGAGGGGGGGGCCACACCAGCAGGAGAATCCCCACGGTGACGCGCGCGCATCACGGCAACTACAGACACCTCGAGCTCTGCGGAAAAAAAAATCAGCCTGCGACGGGAGAGCGCCCACGCAGGCAATCGGCACGAGGCAAGGAATCATTCTGCTGACCACATGTGAACCCTCCCCCCCCACACGATTTATAAGGGGGGGGAGGGGTCCATTTCGCTCGGGAGTTCCCCCTTAGGAGAACGAGGGGTGACGGTAGGGTTCGCATGCGGTCGCTTGTCATTGTGAACGCCCAGCGGACGAAAATGGTGCATTACTCGTGGCAACCAGTCGGGGCGATCCCGAGCAGTGCGCTTAGACAGAATCCCCCCTGGTTCCTCGCGCGGGTGGTGGTTCGGCGGCGAGCGAGGGGGGAAAGTGAGAAAGAGAAGGCCTTCGCAGAAGGCTCGGAAGTCCCCCAGCCTTCCGAGAAGTGTTCTAAGCCTTCCCCGAAGACGCAGAAACCTTCTCGGAAGGCTGGAGCGCTTCTGAGAAGGCCGCCCGCCTTCTGAGAGGGCCTCCTCCTCCTCACTTCCCCTTGGCATCGCTCGGACGTGTGCATGTTTCCTCCGGCGAGGACCATCGAGGAGCACCCTGGCCCATTTGGCGACACAGCCACGCACGAGACCGACAAGAGCACCAGGGAATGGACGTCCGCGCGATTAGGGATCCACATGTGAACCCTACCCCTACCCCCCACCGATTTCTGAGGGGCAGGGTTCGCATGTGGCCCCCTCGCGATGGCGAGTCCCCCCCCCTCGCTCGCCGCCGTGGTTCGGGCCGGACGAAAGGGGGGGATTGGGAAAGGGGGGGTACGAAATTTGCTGCATGCAGCTGGTTTCGGCCCCGCCGAGGGGCCCAATCCTCCATACGTGGCCGCCTCCCGGCGCCGGGAGGCGCCGGGAAGAGCAGTTGCGTGAGCTGATGCTCAAGCCCCCGCTTTGCTATATCCCCCCCTTTCGCCCGACCCGACCCTCGCTCGCCGCCGTGGGGGATAAATCGCTCCAGAGCGTTCTGGAGCGCTCTCAGAGCCTTCCGGAACGCTCTTCTGGAGCGGCCGCGGCGCCCCATAACTACATCCTCCAAACCCGCCGATTCTCAGAGATTCCGAGTTATCCCGATCCGATTTTGTCCCGATCTTCGCGTCGTTTTACTCGCTCGCCGCCTTTGGGGGGTGCCGCGGCCTCCGCCCAGGCTTCGGCGCCACGGCGCTGGAGATCGGGCCGCCGCGGCCCGCGGCGCTTGGCGGGGGCTGCGCCTGGGCCGACGGGAGCACCGGCTGAGCGCGTGCGCCCCGCGGCGCGGGTCGGGGGCGGAAAAGAGGGGGGTGATGACTAGGGGGCGGCGGATATCATGGCGTGGGCCATGATATTTCCCCAGATCTCATGGCGCCTCGGATCGGGATAACTCGGAATCTCTGAGAATCGGCGGGTTTGGAGGATGTATTGGGCGCCGCGGCCGCTCCAGAGCGTTCCGGAACGCTCTGAGAGCGCTCCAGAACGCTCTGGAGCGATTTATCCCGATCCTAGTTTTGTTTTAGGTGATGACCAGGGGTAAGTCGGGCCTGTCCCTCTTACAGGGGGAAGATTCAAAAATAGTCTCCAAAAACAGTCTGGGGACCATTTTCTGTGTATTTTCTTTCAGCATTTGGGGGTATGCTTTAACAATTTGTTTTGCCTCGTCCAGAATCCCCCTGTAGGGGGACAGGCCCGACCTAAGACTAGGGGGGGTGGACATCATGGCGTGGGCCATGACATTTCCCCAGATCTCATGGCGCCTCTTCTTGTTTTATGACGTCCCTGGCCTCCACCCCCCCCTGGGCCGCGCCCATGCCGCCAGCCATGATTTGCACCCCCCCTTTCGGACGCCCCCCTCTTGGCCGCTCCCGAAACACAGCGACCCTGCGGGAGGAAGGGAGCATGGTTTCGAGCGCGCGCGCGCGCGTTCAGCGGGCCTTCTTGGGCGTCTTCGCGCCGGTTCCTGGCGGTGTTCTTGCCTCGGACTGCGTGCCAGTAGCTGCGCGTCGCCTATAGAGCATTCCCCTGGGGTTCCCGAGTCGTCTTGAGCGGGTGCCAGAGACCCAAGCTGACACTCAGGAGGGGAAAACACACACAGACACAATTAATCGTCGATTCTCCAGAAAAGGTGGAAACATCTGGGAAGTGGGGGGAAGACAGAAACCCAGAAATCTATTTATTTGCGTGTCCCAGTTCCCCTTCAGACGCGAGAACAAGACGAAGACGATAACTGCACCAGAGCTGCCCTGGGTGCGCGGCCTTTGGGGGGGGGCGCGGGGTGGGTGGGAGGGGGGGGGTCGGAGGGCACTCGCGCGTGCCACGGGGGGAGGGGTGGAGCAGGGGCAGGACTCGTTCCGATTTCTCCGATTCGATTCGACTTCGATGGATTCCGATTCCGATTCGATTCGACTTCGGATTCCGTTTTGGATTTTGATTTCTCAATGCGGCCTTATTACTTTGCCGATTTCCGCCGATTCGATTCCTTCGGACTTGGCTGTCGATTTCCGCCGATCCGATTAATTTCGAACGCCGATTCGATTTATCGATTCGATTCTGGGCTCTCCTGCAGGGGGCGGGAGGTCGCATCCGTCACCATGAAGCATGCGGGGCTTGAGGGAGACGGGTTCTGATGCTTTACGTTCTCATGTCTTCAGGCTCTCTGGGGGCCCTCCCCGATCCCCAGGACTGGCAAAACCGACTCGGGATGAAGAGCTGGCTCATGCGGGTGATCCAGGAGCCGAGGACTTTACTCCAGATTTCGTAATGAAAGGGAGGGGGTCTCATTTCGGGGGGGAAGTCTCTTCCAGACTATCTTGGAGCGCCTGGGGGGGTCTGGGGACAATGTTTTGGAGGGTTCTCCCACGGGGGGGGGGTCTGAAATGGCTTGTCTGGGAGGGTTGAGACCCCCTCCCTTTTATTACGAAATCTGGAGTACGTCGTATCTTCAGGGGGCCGGGCCATCCCTGCCAGTCTCGGTGTGTCCTTGTACCCGCCGCGAGTCCGCAGCGGATCATTCCACGCGAGTTCGACTTGTTCGACATGGATCCGACGTAGATTCGACACGGATTGGCGCCATGGGACAGAGAAGGTCCCCCGAGCATGCAACGTGAAGGGCCCGTTCCCCCCATTGAGGTCCGTTCCGATTTGATTGATCCGATTCGATATCGATGTCGGTTGGCCCGCTCCGATCCTGTTCCGATGTTCCACGACCTGATGCCACCCGGTGCTCGCACGTCGTTGTGGTGCATCCTGGCGCGGCCGATCCGATTCGCTGTTGACCCCGTGCCGGTGCAGCCCGATCCGACGCACACGTTGAGGGGTCGAGCTTCCACCACTCTCGCCATAGGCAGGACGAGGAGGAGCAGGAGGAGGAGGAGGAGGAAGGACGGAGGAGGAGGAGGAGGAGGAGGGTGAGGAGGTGAGGGAGGGAGGTGAGGAGGCGGAGGGAGGTCAGGGAGGGAGGGAGGAGAAGGGGCGTGGAGGAGGGAGAGGAGAGGAGGGAGGAGGAGGAGAAGGAGGAGGAGGAGGAGGAGGAGGAGGGGGAGGAGGAGGAGGAGGAGGAGGAGGACCTCCCCACCCTCTCCTCCCCCGCCCTGCTGGCGGCAGTGGCGGTGGAGCCTGCGCCCACATCACCGGCCGATCCGACTGGAGGCGCCCAGTGCGGGGCGCTGGCCGGCCCTGCCCCCGGGGGGGGGGGCCCGTGTGCGCTCGTGCCCGAGCCGCCCGCCCCGCCGCCGTCGTCGTCGCCTCCGCCGCCGCCGTCGTCGTCCTCGCGCTTGTGGTCGTCGTCGTCCTCGTCGTCGTGGTGCTCGCATTGAGTCGGGCCTGTCCCCCTACAGGGGGGAGCTTCGACGAAACATAAGCAATACCCAGGGAATATGAGAAAATAGTCCAAACATAGTCCGGGGGTTATTTTGTTGGCGTATGGTTTGACCTTTTTGGGGGTATTTTTGGGGTATGTTCCCTACCTAGGCTCTGCCTGGAAGGCTTCTTCCTCTCTAGCTTAAAGGGGCCGGGCAGTGGACCCCGCCCCGGGCGGTTCCCCCGGTCCCCTGGGAGCGGTTCCCCAAGTCCCTTGTGAGCTTTAGCTTTAGCTTTAGCTTAGCTTTAGCTTAGCTTTAGCTTTAGCTTAGCTTTAGCGTAGCTTTAGCTGATAGTTAGCTTAGATTTAGCCTAGCTTTAGCTTAAATTTACCTTGGTGTTAGCTTAGCTTTAGCCTAGATCTAGCTTAACGGTAGCTTGGCTTTAGCTTAGCGCTAGTTTGGTTTTAGCTTAGTTGTAGCTTAGCTTTAGCTTAGCTTTAGCGTTAGCTTAGCGTTAGCTTAGTGTTAGCTTAGCGTTAGCTTAGCGTTAGCTTCGCTTTAGCTTAGCTTTAGCTTAGCTTTAGCTTAGTTTTTGCTAAGCTTTAGCTTAGCTTTACTGTTACTACTAATGCTGCTTTCCTATGGGCTCCAACTCCTAGGTAGGGTCGCACTGGGATGTTTTTATTGTTCGTCGAAAGTCCCCCTGTAGGGGGACACGCCCGACGTCATGCTCGCACTCGTCGTCGTCCTCCTGCTCGTGCTCGTCGTCGCCCTCGCCGTCGTCGCCGATGCAGCAGGAGCCGTCTCGGGTCGAGGCGCCCGCGCAGCCGTTGCTCGGATCGGGCCGAGAGGCTCGGTGCTCCTCGGGTGCCCCGTGCTCCCAGCGCGCGCTGGCCCGCGGGCGGGGATGGGGGAGCCCATCTGCTGCTGCATCTGCTGCATCGTGGTGACCCTGCTGGTGCCCAGGGGCTGTTTGCAGATCTCGGGGGGGGGGGGGCGGTGACGAGAGGACGGCGACAGCGAGGAGACCGAGGGCGCCGAGGTGGAGGAGGAGGAGGACGAGGTGGAGGACGACGAGGAGGACTTGGGGGGGGGAAGACGGCGCCGAGTGGGAACATCATAAGCATGGGGACGGGAGAGAGGAAAGGGAGAGAGGGGAAGGAGGGGGAAGAGGGCTATGAGGGAGAGGGGGACGGGGAGGGGGAGGGGCAGGACGAGCGGGAGGAGGAGGACCAAGGGGGATGTGGAAGAAGGGGGATGAGGAAGAAGGGGGAGGAGAAGAGGGGGAGGAGGCCGCGTTCGCGCCAGATCTGACATCCTATCCCTCCATCCCATTCCTTCCCATTGCGCTGATTTTGTTTCTGTATCCGTGGACGCGGGTCACAGCCGACCTGAGGAGAGAGATGAGGAGGGTGGGGGTACAAAGAGAGGGGGAGGAGGAGGATGAGGAGGAGGAGTTGAGGAGGAGGGGGAGGAGGGGGGGGCGAAGGAGGAGGAGGAGTGGAGCTTGGGGAGGAAGCGGCCTTGCTGGTGCCAAGATCCGCCAGCTCCACTCGTTGGCGCTGCTTCTGGCACTGGGGCCACCCCAGTGCCAGGCCAGGACTGGCGTCAGTGCATCTTCAGGGCATGTGTCAGTACAATATTGATGTTACCCCTTTGGCTCCACCGACAGCGCGCGGCCTGTGCGGGGACCCTCGTGACACCGCCTGCGTCGTATCCATGGGCCTCGGTTCACGAGCATGCCTTTGCGCTAATTCACGTTCTGAGGATCTTCGGTTGGTCGCGATGTATCCTTCTGGCGCTCCTCCTCCTCCTCCTCCTCCTCCCTCCTCCTCCTCCTCCTCCCCCCTCCTACTTATCCTTCTGGTGCTCCTCCCTCTCCTCCTCCTCCTCCTCCTCCTCCTCTCCTCCTCCTCCTCCTCCTCCTCCTCCTCCTCCTCCTCCTCCTCCTCCTCCTCTTCCTTTTCCTCCTCCTCCTCCTCCTCCTCCTCCTCCTCCTGTGAGTACAGGAGGTGGGCTCATAGCCAGGGCGTCTGCACCGGGGGGCGAAAGGACGACGGGTGGGGGGAGCGTCGCGCGAAGGCCAGACGCACTCTGGCTTGGGCTTATGATGTTCCAACCTACTTTAGCCGTGACTACGAGAAAGAATTTCGAGCACCACAAAAAATACGGAAACTCGAGGGCTTTCACGTGTCGGGCCCTGGGAGACACTCGCCCGACACTGTTTCGACACTGTTTCGACACTCTCTTGACACTTTTCCGGGAGCTCGAAATGATTTCTGTGATGCGGTCCTTAAGTAGGATGGGAACAACATGAGTTTGGGCCAGAGTTTCTGTTCAGAGGTAGCGTGAGGCCCGAGGGGCGCGAGAATGGAGGCCCGTGGCGCGCACGCAGGCAGTGGGGCTCGAGAGGCGGCGGCCTCTTGAGACGGCGGGGAGCATCTCAGAAGGCAGACGCCGCCTCGGGAGGGCCCGGAAGTTTCCAAGAGGGGGGCCTCACAGGGGCGGGGGCCCAGGCAGACGGGGGTCGGCCAGAGCGCCGGATCTCGCAGGGCCCTGCGGAGCCAGGGGCGCACTGACCCGGGCTTGGGTCCAGGACCCTGCAGAGTGCTGCAGCATCCTGCAGGATCCTGCAACGCCCGACTGACCCGGGTTTGGATGGACCCAGGTCTGTGGATCCCCGACTCCTCTCGGGCGTCGGGAAGGCCACCAGGAGCCCCCTTCTGCCGCGCTGGAAGCCCCTCTGCCTCAGCCTGTCAGGAGGGGAAGAAACACACAGACACAATTAATCGTCCCAGGAAAATATGGGAAAATATGGGATGTGGGGGGGAAGACAAAAACCCAGGAAATATGGGAAAATATGGGGAATAGATTTAGTTGTGTGTATTTATTTGTGTGTCTGTGGGCCCCTTCAGACAGGTCGCCCCCCCCCTTGCGCGCGCCGCCGCCGTTCCGCGGAGCCTCTCCGCCCCCTCCCCCCCCCTCCCAATCACCATGGCACCGGCGGCTGGCACCCTTCGGTTCAAGCAGTGGCGAAAGCGTCCCGATTTGCCGATGGGCCCACCAGAGACCAGCCTCAGAACCTCTTGCGGTCTGTACAAGGTGCTCTCAGAGCATGACCTTTCTGGCCGAGGCAGCCCTGCCTCCGTACATGGGCTTCACGCCATGAGAGCATTGATTTCTGCCA